CAGCACTGGAGAGGCACAGGGAGGCAGATCGCTGTGAAATCAAGTCATCTGGGGCTACAGGGAGACCCTGTCTCAAAAAAACAAAAACAAAGACAAAATCCAAAACAAAAAAAGAAAATTAAGGCTACAAGTTTTGACAGAAGACAAGGTTCAAGTTTGTTTTCTACAGGGTCAATAGCTGAGGCGGGGATATTTATATCTGAGATACAGTGAACCCTGGAACTGGAGGTAAGCGTACATGAAAGCATAGAAAAATAGGTGGGTATGGTTGCTCACACCTGTCATCGCACCACTGGGGAGGCAGAGGCAGGAACACTGGCACAAGTTTGAGGCCAGCCTGATTTACACAGTGAATTCCAAGCCAGTGCTACATAACATAAGCCTGTCTCAAAAAAAAAAAAAAAAAAAAAAATTGAAACAATGCAAAGAAAAACTAGAAAAGCATAGAAAATAGACAGCGTGAGGGGGCTGCTGACTCATGCCTGTAATCCTAGTACTCACTTGTGAAGCTGAGGCAGGCCAATCTCTTCAAGTATGAGATCAGCCTGGTCTACACAAGTTCCAGACCAGTCTGGGCTACAGTATCTAAAATACGTTTACAATCAGTATAAATCCAAAGAATGACATACCATCTTCCGAAGCCCTCTTCTGACCTCTGCAACATTGCATGACATGGGTGCACTCACATACATGCAGGCAATACACTCATACACATAAAATAATAAAAATAATAAAATATTTTAAAAAATAGACAATCCAAAGAAAGAAAGACATCAGATTATTGATTAGAAATAAGTTGATGACAGTGGGCATGGTGGCACATGCCTTTAATCCCAGCACTTGGAAGGCAGAGCAGGCAGATCTCTGTGAGTTGGAGGCCAGCCTGGTCTCCATAGTTCAAGGACAGCTGGGGCTACAGGGAGACCCTGTCTCAAAAAAAAAAAAAAAAAGAATAAAAATAAGTTGATGAGAAAATAGACAGGCAAGCAGGTGCTTACAGATCTTCATAGCTAAGCCTGTCTCAGTTACCATTCAAAAAGTATAACTTTTCCTTTTCCTTCTCTATCTCCTTTTTGTACTGGCCAGAAGTCTAAGCATACTTTCCCAGACACTCTGGACTTTCTTTCTCTGAAGTCCCCACCTCCTTTTCTATAGCTGCTTGCCGACCTCTATGTCTAACTCAAAAGGCATGACTTTCCTCTTATTCATCTCCCTGCTCTGGGCAGCTGCCAGGATTTACAGTTTGCCTGCCATTGTTTCTCTCTCAAACTTTAAGAAACTGGTCCTCAACTTCAAAAAGTGAAAGAAAAAGAAAACACCTTGATAAACACAAAATGTCCTACAGTGAAGCCAGGCAGTCAGTCTTATTGATCACCCTTGTAGTAGCTCTTAGGACAGCTCAGTCTGAATACTGGATTTCTAGGATCTTTAAGACTTTTTTTTCTAGCTGGGTGTGGTAGGCCAACCTGATCTAATAGTGAGTTCCAGATTGCCAGTGAGATTCTGTCTTAAAATTTAGAAAAAAAAAAAAAAAGTCCAGGTGTGGTGGCATACATTTTAAGTCCCAGCACTCAGGAGATAGAGGCAGGTGGGTGTCTGCGAGGAGATTGGGGCCAGCCTTGTCTACATAGCAAGTTCAAGGCCATTTGGAGCTACTGAGAGACCCTGTCTCAAAACAAACAAACAAACAAATAAACAAACAAAAAAACCTCAAAATAAGTAAAATAAAATAAGGTTGTCTTCTGTGAACATCAGAATTGGTCAGGATATTTGGAATACCTTAATCAGGCTCACAAAGTCTTAGTATTATTAACCTGACCCCAATGTATACATTTTTATAATGTTTTAAGTTTGTTGGTTGCTCTCAGAAATAAATGAAAAGGAGAATACATAAATATGTTTGTGATAATGGAATCAGAGCAAAAAGAGGATGCTATTTGGAGAGTAATTTTATCCAAATTTCATTAAAGTTTGGTGACTGGTTTCTGCCCAAGAGTTTGTTCCTATTTCCCAAATAGAATGTTGAGCCTTCACAGACAGTAACAAGGGTCAACAAATTCTTACCCTTTTCACTTCCTTTTTCCATACTCCAAGCCCATCATTCACCACTTAACAAGCTCTCAGAAATCTTGCCTGCCTCTTCCTCCCAAGGGTGCGCCACCATGCCCAGATTTTTTTTTTTTTTTTTTTGAGACTGGGTTCACCTGGTCAGTTTTGTTAACTTGACACAAATTTGAGTCACCAGGAAGAGGGAACCTTGATTGAGGAATTACCTCAGTGACCTGTGGCCATGTCTATGAGGAAATGGCTTGACTAATGAGTAATGGGAGGGCCCAAACTACTATGGGTCACACCATCCCTAAGAAGGTAGGTCTGGGCTATATAAGAAATCTAGCTCAGGGCTCAGGGGACAAGAGCACTGGCTTCTCTTGCAGAGAACCAGGGTATGGTTCTCAGAATACACATGTGGCCAACAGCCATCTGTAACAGTTCTACGTGATCCCATGGCTTCTCCTTGCCTCTGCCAGCACTACATGCACGTAGTGCATTTATATACATGCATGCAAAACATTCATACACATAAACAGTAAAAATAAAAGCGAGCTGATCATGAATTAAGAGAGGAAGCCAGTAAGCTGCATTCCTCCATTGTTTCTGCTCAAGTTCCTGTCCAAACTAATTTCCCTCAAAGATTGTGACCTGAAGAATAAATGAAATAAATCTTTTCCTCCCCTACCTTCTTTTTGGTCACAGTGTTTATCATAACTAAGAAAGCAAATTAGGCCAAGAGTGGTCGCACACACCTTTAATCCCAGCACTCCAGAGGCTGAGGCAGGCAGACAGGGAGACCCTGTCTCAAAAAGACCAAAAAGAAAAAGAAAATAGAAAGCAAATTAGAACATTGGGTCTAAGTAGCCCAGGAAGGTATGTAGCTGTGGATGACCTTGAACTTTTTTTTTTGAGGGGCAGGGAGGAGGGTTTATTTCCTTTACACGTTATCTATTGAGGGAACTCAAGGCAGGAACCTGGAGGCAGGAACTGAAGCAGAGTCAACGGAGGCATGCTCAGTTGGTACAGTGCTTCTCTATAACCCACTGGGTTCAGTCCAGAGCACACATAAAACTGGAACTGGCACAGGCCTGTAACCCCAGCACGTGGGAGCCAAAGGCAGGAGGATCAGGAAGTTTATGTTATCTACCCTTGATCCTTGGCTACATAAAGCATTCAAGCAGCCTGGTTTATAGAGACCAGGCTTCTTGGGTATCTGTCCTATGATTTTCCCAGGAGCAGTGAAATCACCACATGAGATTACAAGGCTGACAATCTCTGGCTCCAGAGCAGCCTGGGATCCTGGGGACAGAGCCTAAAACAGCAGAAAGATCAGTTTTGAACTTTTGATTCTCCTCTCAAGCACTGAGATTACAGTTTGCCACCTTGCCCAGTTTATGGGGAGATGGGGATCCAGCCCAGACAGGCAGTCCACTAAATTTTCTTTTCAAACAATTTACAATATATCTGATTAGACTGTTAATCTTTCCAATAAGGAGCAGATAATTTTTTAAGGAGTTGGTTATAGCGATAACTAGACTAAATTCTTTGCAGGAAAGGGATGTTTATCAATTGTCTTTTTCTTCAGTAACTTTAAATATTACTATGCAGGGTTTTTTGATACAGAAATTCACGATGTTACTCTAGGTGTCCTGGAGATTCTGGCCCTGCCCTGGGTTTAAGGGAGTGCCCCACCACACCCAGCAAATCTGCAGATCAATTTATGGTTGTCTTGGAGGTTGGGAGATAACCTAATCCTATACCCACTTTCATTTGAAACACTAAAGTTCAGTCAGTCTAGATGATCTGAATGAATTAGACTGCTATTTCGGTCATTATACTGCACAATAAAAATGGCAACGGTGATCACATTTAGATTAAAAAATTGTATGGGGCCGGGCGTGGTGGCAACACGCCTTTAATCCCAGTACTCGAGGAGGCAGAGGCAAGCGGATCTCTGTAAATTCAAGACGAGCCTGGTCTCCATAGTAAGCTCCAGGACAGCTGGGGCTACAAGGAGACCCTGTCTCAAAAAGACAAAAAAAAAAAAAAAAAAAAAAAAAAAAGTATGGGTAGTTTATCTGACAGCCAACACTTTTGACCGGAGAGGGGGGTTAAGACAAGGTCTCCCTGTAGCCACAGCTGGCCTGGAACTCGCTACATAGACCAGACAGGTCTCGAACTCAAAGATCCGCCTGCCTCGGCCTCCCAAATGCTGGGATTAAAGGCGTGCGCCACCACTCCCGGCAAACAATGCCTTTATTGCTCCATTCCCTGAATTGTCACCTAAACAAACGGGTCTGCTCTTTCTGAACGAGAAAAGCGTTACAGACCAGTGAATCCCTAAATAACTGAGCTCCCCGAGTCCTGCCTCTGGTGGTTAAGAGGAAAAACTGTTAAATCCGCCCTGTTCTGAACCCCATGAGAAGGGCCCAAGATCAAGGCATGTCGGGGTCGGAGGGGTTTGGGCAGGGGTCTGAAGTGGGCGTCGCCAGCCAGACCTCGGGCCCTGACAGGAGCGGCCGAAGGACGAAGGACGTGAGGGGCACAGCGGGGTTTCTTGCAGTATTAATAAACTTCAAGCTGGAAAAGCGTGGCATTCCTTAAGCAGCAGCAACAGAATGAAGCCGGAAATGAAGACCGAGGCGAGCGGGGGCGAAGCAGGGGCGCCTGAAGAAAGGGAAAGGCCTCTCTCTACCCTGACGCGTAATCACGCGGCTTTCTACCGACGTGGGCGCTAGCCATTGGTCGATTCCAGGCTGACGTAAAGGCTGCCCTTGGGCGCGAACGGCGGCGAGGGCGGTGCTGCGTTGGAAGTTGGAGGGGCACGCGCGCTCCCGCAGCCTGTCCAATCCTCGCCCTTCGCTCTCCGCCCGCCAACCCGCTAGTCCAGTGGAGCTCCGTTTCCGTGTGGCCCCGCCCCCTTCGTGGATCGCTCCGCCCCTGACAGGCCGGCGGCGCGCGGAAAGCGCGTCACGTGAGGACTGGCTCCGCCTCTTCCTCTCGGTCCCATATTGAACTCGAGTTGGAAGAGGCGAGTCCGGTCTCAAAATGGAGGTAAAACCGCCGCCCGGTCGCCCCCAGCCTGACTCCGGCCGTCGCCGCCGCCGCCGGGGGGAGGAGGTATTAGGGGGAGAGTGGGGGGTTGATGGGTAGTGGCCGGCGTGGGGGGCCCGGCTTTACGGGAGTGGGGAGGCCGGGTGGACCCGGGCGGCCGTCCCGCGCTCTGCGTTGAGGGCGATGGGAGGGGGAGGGGCGCAGGCCGAGCGGCCTCGTCGGAGCCCTTAGTCCGCCTAGCTCTCTAGGTCGGCCGCATTGGCGGCCCTCAGAGGCGCGGCACGGCCGGGGAGAGGGCCTGTGGCCGGGCGAGGGGCCCGCCGGCTGCGCGGCCTGCCTTCGAGGCCGCGGGCGGCATGGCGGGCCTCCGCGGGAGCGGTTGGGAGGAGGCGGTGGGGGAGGGGAGGAGCAGCACATCCGGGCGAGCGAACAGGCGGGCGGCGGCCACATTGACATTGATCTGCTGCCGCGTTACGAAATGGCGCATTGGCCCGCAATGGCCGCCGCCTGGCTGGGTCTCGGGGAAGGAGAGCGCGGGACTGGAGGGAGCAGGGAGGCGACGGCCGGGCAGAAATTGCCACAGATGCCCTGGAAGCTCTGGGCGCGGTGCTTTCCGCTCGGGTGCTGCCGGCGCGGTTTGGGCCTCCTGTGGCCGCGAGAATTTCCCTAAATTATCTGGTTCTTTATTCGCAGCGCTCAGTTGGAAATAAAAAGCTTGCTACTTTAAAATGCTTAATCCGCTGCTCTTGTTCAAGTACTTGGAATGAAACCGCTCACATCGCCACGTGGCTGAAGTTTTAACTATTTCAGAATTTAGATATTAGGATTAAAATTTAAATAATCTGAGCCGGGCGTGGTGGCGCACATCTTTTAATCCCAGCACTCGGGAGGCCGAGGCAGGCAGATCTCTTGAGTTCTAGTCCAGCCTGGTCTACATAAGGAGTTCCACTAGGGAGGACTCTGGAGATAGAGGGAGCCCCTGTCTCAAAAAATAAAAACTAATAGTTTCCCATTCTCTGGATCCGCCCTGGTTGTAGTTTTCTGGATTTTGGTTTTAGGTTACTGCAACCACAGTTTTCATATGATGAGAGTTTTGTGTGGGGAAGGGTGGTTGATTTTTGTGAATTGCCAAGTGCATTTATCCAAGGCTTGAATAAATGGGAGTAATAACTTGGTGAGTTACTGCTTAAAGCTGTTAATTATTTAACTAAATTCCAGTATTTAGTCTTAATGTTATGATTTAACATCTCTACTTAAGAAGAAAAGACAGAATGGAAATGTGAGCCCCCTTTACATACTTGAATGATAATGTAACCGTAAACAGCACTTAAAAGCCTTCAAAACGTAAATTTCAGACTACATCTTTTTCTAGGTCTCTCAGTTTTGGTTTTGTGCAAATTCCTCAGGTCAGGCAGTAAGTATATGCAATACCTAATGTAAATCTGTCTCGTAAATCCCTGACACTAGGAGTTGAATTTGAAATCCTTTAGCCATATGATGCAAATGCATGTAAGTAGTTTTCGCTTCCTGTTAAACTGATAGAAAGCTAAGCAGTGGAGTCAGGTGTCATGATGCACACCTGTAATCACAACACGTGGGAGGTTGAAATGTTCCTCAAGTTCCAGGCCATCTTGGCCTTGAGGCAGTGTATGGACAACTGCACGCTGAGGGGTAGGGGTAGGCTATGGGGTTGTTTAAAGTCTCAGTAGGTTTGGGGAGGTATACCTGGTTTTGCCTAGGAATGCCTGTCTTAATACCAATTTGATTGAAATCTGAAGTTTCACTTCCCAGATTGTGTTTTAAAATTAGGGGCTTGCTGGAGTTCCAGACTGAGACTAGTTGAAATGGCATTGATGGACTATACTACACTTGGTTCTTCGGTGATTTAGAGAATGACTTCTTATCAGTGACTTATAAAATAACACACATACCTCCAGACACTTTCACTTGGAGAAATTCAGTGATTTGATTTCAGGAATTGTCTTGAACTAAATATTTTTTAAATGATCATTTTGCCTGCTTGTATGTATATATGTATACTTTGTGCATGCCAGGAAGAGGGTATGGGATTCCCCCAGGAAGTAGAGTTGGTTGTGAGCCACTACGTGGGTACTTGGAATCCAGCCTGAGTCTTCTGCAAGAGCAACAAGTGCTCTTAACCTATGCCATCCCTCCAACCCCTATTTGTTTTTTTGTTGTTGTTTTTCTTTTTATGGTCTTTCTGAGACAGGGTCTCAGTGTAGCTCCAGGATGGCCTGGAACTCCAAGTGCTGGGGTTAAAGGCGTGCACCGCCACCCCGGCCCCTATTTGTTTTTTTAAAGACAGGGCCCCACTATGAACCGCAGACTGGCCTTGAAGTGGATATATAGTCCAGACTAGCCTCAAACTAATGATCTGTCTCCCAAATGCTGGAATTACAGGTTTGCACTGTCATGTCTTGCTTTGAGCAAATTTTTAACTGGACAGATTTTAATAGTAAATTTTTGAGGCTCGTGAAACTTCAAAATTAATTTGCTTGAAGAAAAAAATAAACCTGTATTGATTCTTCTTCTTAGGGCCATGATCCAAAGGAACCAGAGCAATTGAGGAAGCTGTTTATTGGTGGTCTGAGCTTTGAAACTACAGATGATAGTTTAAGAGAACACTTTGAGAAATGGGGCACACTTACAGATTGTGTGGTAAGTTCTCAATAGAATAAAAGTGGTCTTAGGAAGGATAGGAGACCCATGGGGTATTTTAATGCTTTTAATATATATTTTTTGTAGGTAATGCGAGACCCCCAAACAAAACGTTCCAGGGGCTTTGGTTTTGTGACTTACTCTTGTGTTGAAGAGGTGGATGCAGCAATGTGTGCTCGACCACACAAGGTTGATGGGCGTGTAGTGGAACCAAAGAGAGCTGTTTCTAGAGAGGTATTTTAATACCATGTTATATAATACGTGAAACTATGAAAGTTTGGATTTTTGACTTAAAATTGTTTTATTTGCAGGATTCTGTAAAGCCTGGTGCCCATTTAACAGTGAAGAAAATTTTTGTTGGTGGTATTAAAGAAGATACAGAAGAATATAATTTGAGAGACTACTTTGAGAAGTATGGAAAGATCGAAACCATAGAAGTTATGGAAGACAGGCAGAGTGGAAAAAAAAGAGGATTTGCTTTTGTAACTTTTGATGATCATGATACAGTTGATAAAATTGTTGGTAAGTAGCAATTTACTAGAACATGAATGATGTTACTATTTTCAACTAAATTTGCTAATTTATCATTTCGTATTGTGCTTAGTGGCCTATAAATGGTGTAATTCAGTTTTCACAAATCATCTACACCTGTGTAACCATCATCTGAATCAAGAAATAAACATTTACTTCCCCAAACATCACATCATTCCTGCTTAGTCAGCCATCTTGACAATATTTTAATGAATTAGCTAGTGGCAAAGGGTTTTGTTTTTATATCCTCTACCAAACAAAACAATCTAACTTGTGGCTTGTTTGATTTTAAAAATTTTAGTTCAGAAATACCACACTATTAATGGGCACAATTGTGAAGTGAAAAAGGCCCTTTCTAAACAAGAGATGCAGTCTGCTGGATCACAAAGAGGTGAGTAGGATCGTGTTCATAAATAATAGGTGTGAATGGTTGTTATAAACTTTCAGACTGTTGACGGACCTTTGTTACAGGTCGAGGAGGTGGGTCTGGCAACTTTATGGGCCGTGGAGGAAACTTCGGAGGTGGTGGAGGTAATTTTGGTCGTGGTGGAAACTTTGGTGGAAGAGGTATGGTATACTTACTAATTTCAAATACATTGGTATCATAGATTTAATAAGTTGAATGTACAATTTTAATTTACATACCTTGCTTTTCCTTAGGAGGCTATGGTGGTGGAGGTGGGGGCAGCAGAGGTAGTTATGGAGGCGGTGATGGTGGATATAATGGATTTGGAGGTGATGGTAAGTCTGTAACTTACTATTTTCATTGCTAGAAATCAAACAACTCATGCTTGGCAGTCAATCCTACCACAAACAGGTGATGGGTGTTTTGACTGAACAGTCAGTACTAAAAATGTCACTGTCTAGTCTTTGAATGAATTGAAAATTAAGGTATAATTCTGAACTAGTAACATAGAAAAGCTTTTTCCTTAGGAGATTATTAACTGGTCCTCTTAAGGTTTCTTTACTTTTTAAAAAAAATTTTTGCTTTGTTTTTATGTATATGCGTGTATTGTGTGCATGTATACAAGTGCAGTGCCTGTGGAGGACAGAGAGGGTGTTGGATCTTCTAGAACTGGAGTTATAGAAGGTTGTTAGCCACCATGTGGGTACTGGGAATCACATCTCCTGGGTCCTCTGTAAGAACAGTCAGTACTGTTAGCCACTGAGCTCTCTCCAGCCCCTTCAAGTAAGATTTCTTCTTTTTTCTTTCTTTTTTTTTTTCATTTTTATGTGTATGAGTGTATTGCCTGCATGTGTGGGTATGCACCAGTGCGGTGCAATGCCTTGGAGGTCAGAAGAGGGCTTTGGATTCCCCTGGAACTGTAGCTGAAGATGGTTCTTAGCTGCCATGTGGGTGTTGGGAATTGAACCTAGGTCCTCTGCAAGAGCAAGCAGTTAGTGCTCTTAACCACCGAGCCATCTCTCCAGCCCCTCAGTAAAATTTCTTATACCAGCAGTTGAGGTAAAATTGTCATCTGAGGCTATGTTTTCATCAGTGAAAGTTTTAAAAATGAAAACAGTGAATTTTACTTTCAGTTTCAACACCTATTCAACCTAAGTTTCTACCAGTCTAAAGTTTCGCTGCTCTGAAGCTGAAATTTAGAGTATTAGTTCATTGTGGGCTGGAGAGATGGCTCAGGGGTTAAGAACACTGACTGCTCTTGCAGAGGACCCAGGTTTGATTCCCAGCACCCACATGGCAGCTACGAACCATTCTTAGCTCCAGTTCCAGGGGAATCCAAAGCCCTTTACTGGCCTCCACAGCATTGCACGACACGGGTGCACTCACATATGTGTAGGCAATACACTCCTACACGTAAAAATAAATATTTTAAAAAATAGTTCATTGTTTACATTCCAGTAGCTTTAAGTGTAATTTTATTTTTTTAATTTTGTCTTTTTTGAGACAGGGTCTCCTTGTAGCCCCAGCTGTCCTGGAACTCACTATGTAGACCAGGCTGGCCTCTAACTCAAAAAGATCCGCCTGCCTCTGCCTCCCAAGTGCTGGGATTAAAGGTGTGCGCCACCACTCCCGGCTTAAATGTGATTTTAAAACCAAAATTCAGTATTTGGATCCTTGGTACATATATGTTTTTTGTGTGGTCTTTGTCTTTTCAGGTGGCAACTATGGTGGTGGTCCTGGTTACAGTAGTAGAGGAGGCTATGGTGGCGGTGGACCAGGATATGGAAACCAAGGTGGTGGATATGGTGGTGGTGGAGGAGGATATGATGGCTACAATGAAGGAGGAAATTTTGGTGGAGGTAAGTTTGCTTTAGTCAGGTGTTAAGTAATCAGTTTTGTTTATAGTTCATTATAGATGTTTGAGGAAATGCTAAAAGTAAGACATTTTAAAAATATTTTTATTTTACGTGTTGCCTGGATGTATGTGTTATCCAGTGCTCACAGAGGTCCAAAGAGGGTGTTGAATGCCCTGGAACTGGAGTTAGGACAGTTGATAGCAGCCATGTGGTGCTGGGAATGTTTATTTTTTTGAGATAGTATCTTCCCTTTGTATCCCTGGCTGACTCAGAACTCCCTGTGTAGACCAGATTGGCCTCTGTCTCCCAAGTGCTCAGACTAATGTTGTACACCACCATACTTGGTGAGTATGGTGACATTGGCATATAAGCACTCAGGAGGTTGAGACAGGAGAATCTGGAGTTCCAGACCAGTCTGGACAATATAGGAAAACTATGTCTCAAAGTTTTCCTGTATCTAGAAATTAAACATTTCTAGTTTAAAAGTCAGTACTATTAAGTAAATTGATACTTTACAAGATTTCTACTTTAGTTTTTTGAGACACAGTATCTCATAGCCCAAACTAGCTAGCCTTAAACATGCTATGTATCTGAAGCTGACCATACTTCCATGTCTGAAATTTCATGTGCATGAGTGTTCTGTCTGCCTGTATACTTGTACCACCTGTATGTCTGGCGCCCCCTGGAACTGGAGTTACGGACTGGGAGCTGCCATGTGAGCGATGGGAACTGAACTAACATCCTCTGGAAGAGTACCCAGTGCTTATTGCTGAACTCTTTCTCTAGCCCTGCATCTTTTTTTTTGAGTCAGGGTCTCCGTATAGCCCCAGCTGGCCTGGAATTCACTATGTAGATCAGGCTGGCCTGGAACTCACAGGCCTGCCTCTGCTTCCCAAGTGCTGGAATAAAGGTGTGTACCACCACACCTAGCTGCAAACTTTTTAAAAAAAAAAAACATTTTTCATAATGCTATTTTAAATGGGTAAAATGAACTTTACTATTATTAGTGTGGTAAAATGGACTATATATAAATTAAGTTTTAAAATCAGGTTTTAAACTAGATAAATAGGATATGCAAGTTGTTTGCACACTTAGATTTACTAAAATGAATAGGCTACCAAAAATACTTTGGGTCTTAATATATTAATATATTTGTTACATAATATTTAGGCATTACATAAATGTAATGTACCACAGAGCTTTGTTAGGAACTCTTTTGGACCATATTCACTAATAGGAGTTGCTGATGTTAACAATTAAGAATGACTTCTCTGCTACTATTTAAATTTTTTGAGTGTTTACCTCCATGTGTGTAAGCACTGCATGCATGTAGTGCCTGAAAGATGTCAAGATCAGATTCCCTGGAACTGGAGTTATGGTTGTGAGCCTTCATGTGGGTGCTGGGAACTAAACAGGTCCTCTGCAAGAGCAGCCAGTCCTGGTAACCACTGAGTCATCTCTCCAGCCCCTATGTTACTGTTTTAAAAGCTGCATTGCATCAGAGTCATACTAAATTGAATACTGACAATTTTGATGGTATTAGTGGTATAGAAAACATGTAAGGCATAGCATCAAAGAAAAAGGCATTTCTCTATAATCTCTTAAAGTTTGACAAGCTGTTTAGAAACAAGATTTTCCAGGTGTGTTCCACTTACCTGTGTCCTCTTCTACCAGTGTATTAGACTGCTTAGGAGGCCTCTGGTAAATGGCTTTTAGTCACTAAGATCTCTTAAGAATTGCATATAAATTACTGAAGACAGCTTCAGTGATTGTCAGAATAGTCAGAGGAGTAAATAATTACTGTCTTTGTAAGCTACATATAAAAACTTTGTGATTTCAGGTAACTATGGTGGTGGGAACTATAATGATTTTGGAAATTATAGTGGACAACAGCAGTCAAATTATGGACCCATGAAAGGGGGCAGTTTTGGTGGAAGAAGCTCAGGCAGTCCCTATGGTGGTAAGTATTTTTTTAAATAAAAAATTCCAAAGCCATTTTACTTTAAAATATTAGGTATATTCAAAACTATGTTATTTCCAGGTGGTTACGGATCTGGTGGTGGAAGTGGTGGATATGGTAGCAGAAGGTTTTAAAAACAGCAGGAAAGGGTAGGTATCTTTACATTTTTTAAAATATGATAAAGAATATGTGGAACTGTTCACTGAGTGTAATAATTTTTTTATCCTGTATTATTCAACAGGCTACAGTTCTTAGCAGGAGAGAGAGCGAGGAGTTGTCAGGAAAGCTGCAGGTTACTTTGAGACAGTCGTCCCAAATGCATTAGAGGAACTGTAAAAATCTGCCACAGAAGGAACGATGATCCATAGTCAGAAAAGTTACTGCAGCTTAAACAGGAAACCCTTCTTGTTCAGGACTGTCATAGCCACAGTTTGCAAAAAGTGCAGCTATTGATTAATGCAATGTAGTGTCAATTAGATGTACATTCCTGAGGTCTTCTATCTGTTGTAGCTTTGTCTTTTTCTTTTTCTTTTCATTACATCAGGTATATTGCCCTGTAAATTGTGGTAGTGGTACCAGGAATAAAAAATTAAGGAATTTTTAACTTTTCAATATTTGTGTAGTTCAGTTTTTCTACATTTTAGTACAGAAACTATAACAAAATGCAGTTTTGAAGGTGTTTCCTTGTGAGTTAACAAGTAAAGAAGATCATTGTAATTACTATTTTGTATGAATTTTGCTAAAGTTAACTGTAAAGAAACACCTACTGACTTGCAGTTCAAGGGGAATCTATTCTCCCCATTTCCAAAACCATGATACAAATGGGCACTGACATGTGGAGAGAATAGATATTTGTATGTTTGCAATGTGTGTTTTAGATAATTAGGATTGGGTAATTAGCATATCTGTGCATTTAATAGCATTAAGATTACCTTCAAATGAAAAAGATCTCAAAAGATCCTATTTGGTTTTGTGCATTTTCTTTCAAAATGTAATCATGATTTTAGTGTGTTAGACTTCTTGAGTCCCAGCTATGCTAAGAAATCTCAAGTCTACATTTACTTTGGTCACATTTAAACTGCTGCCAATAGTTTGTGTGTCTAGTGCCCTGTATTTTAAGATTCTGGAAAAGGGTAGTGGATGTTTGACATTTCCCAATTGAGCATTCTTTCAGTACAGGATCACTAAGTCTGCTGTGTCGGGAGCAAACTAGTGGGTTACCTGGGTTCTGCTTTTCAAAGTTTAAAACCCAGAAGCCCTTAAATCTAAAGTCACTTTCCTTGGTTTAAGGTTTTTTTCTCCACAAGTTTGAAGAGCTAAAGAATAAAAGACACTCATTGAACCCTTTGATTGGCTGGCATGCTTTCCCTGTTTGTACCCTATACATTTTGCTGAATGAAACCAAGGATAGTTTAGATATCATTGCCCAAAATAAAGCCGCAGAAAATGTAGCACACTTGCTTAGCATAAGCATCTCATTTCCCAAAGATCTGAATTCAAATTTGGACAGTCTTGAGTTCTTAAATTTCCAAAGAACACATGGTTACTTTTTGTATATATATTTCAACCTAAAACATGTTGGTGTGAGTTATAGTTTGTTTGGAAGATCCTGGTTGAGAAGAGTTTTAGGTAATAAGGTTGAATATATGAAAAGCAATGTCTACTGTTTTGCGCCAGCTAGTGCTTAATAATTTCACTCAAGCCCGAAGTATGTGCCCTGCTGTTAACTTTCTTTGGCAGTTGAACATTGAATTCAAATTTTTACTTGGTTTTTAAAGTACTAAGCAAAACAAGCAATAAAAAGGGGAATGGGGCGTGCTAGTGTTTGAATATGCTCTCTTGTTTCTCTAATTCTGTGCCTCTGTGCATTATAAATATTTGGATGCATGCATTACCAGCATGAAACTTGGTCTTCACAAATACTGCAGTTTTTCAAGAAAACACTCACAAACCAATAAATGTAACAGACAACATTCCATTTGTTAATGGGCATATGTGAATAAGCAGTGTAGAAAATAGGCTCATTAGAAAATGGTTACTTAATGACTAAAAATGTGGTTATACAAATGGACACTGTCAGTGTTCATAACTTAAACCTGGGTACCTGGTCAAAATGCTTGGGAAACATTAAAATTGAGCTAAATTGTCTCAACTTCTTTTGTTCATATAATAAAGGTTGAAGGAATGGGGGAGATTAACATTTCCTGGTTTTGTTTGTGAAATTGTTTGACACAACCTTGACAGTATCCTTTAATGTCATGAGGTCAATTGTATTGTTAACCAACTCTTTTATGTTCTGGAACTAGTTTAATAGTGAAAACATTTTTCAGTAAGTTGATGTTTACAACCTATAAGCAGGTGAAATTTGTATGTGACCTGTTTATAAGTTGTACTAGGTTAGCATTTGAACAGTGTGGAAAAGTAAGCCATGAGGAGAGCGATTTAACCAGCTTTTAAAGGACTTAAGTTGTGCTTTTTAAGCACAGTGTGGATCAAAGGAAACTCACTAAGACAGGACTCCAGCAGCCTTTTGAGTATGGACAAGTCAGCATAAAAATAAAGAATGAGAAGGCAGCAGCAAGCAGCAGCAGCAGCAAGAGCTTCAACTACAGAGAAGTGGAGGCATAAGATACTATGATGCTAGTGAGCAGCTTTCCAAAAGCTAGTTAAATCTGCTTATTACAACTGAAATATCGAAGAAAGTAGCAGGAAGGAGCTCCGCCTTTTGGAACGTCAATGAGATAGTTGCCACAGTCACTAGGTCTAGCATTTAGACCTGCAAGGAAGGGCAATAAGCATTGGGTAAGGCTTGAATTTGAATTTTTTCACTAATTAAAGAGTACATTTTTGTAAAGCAAGGTAAGAGTAATCTTTTTGATTTGCAGGTTGAATGAGAACCCTACTTGCCTAAATGAGGAATGTCTTTCCTACCATCTTAAATACGAAGGTTTCTGGCTGGGTAAGATTTGTAGCTCACAGTAAAACCTGATGACACAGTTTATTTCTCTACAAATCTATATCACAGATTAAAACATCACCCCCTTTCTAAGTAGATACATTGGCAGAATTCTCAAGCTGAAAATTTTATCTTGGTACCACCTTGAACACATAAGCTATAAAGCTTTAGGCAGTTTTTAAAATTCTTCAGTGGCCACAAATGTTCATCTTGAAACAGATGTAGCCTCATTGTGTATATGACTTATTGTTGGTATCTATAGTAAAGTCAAATTTTTTGTAAGGGAAAGAAAAGTCAGCTTTTGTAAAACTCGGTTTTTGTAGTACACATGACTTCTAATATTAAGCTGTTCCCATCCTAGGAAAAACTCCTTCAATTGAACTTCCATAATTACCAGATGATACAGGTGGTTTTTTTTTTTTTTTTTTAATGTTCCTCAAAGATCGTTAGTATATAAATTAAGAATTATTTGGGCCGGTAGGAACAATTTTTTGTTGTATCTTTGAACCAGAAACAATGGGAGGTCTAATTTGTACTTTAAGTTCCTTGAAAAAGGTAAAGAGCAGTTTGGTTACCATTCAAAAAAATCTGTTGCTGATTGTTCATAAGGGCTATTTTTGCTGCCCCCAAAGGGCTTGTTTAAAATGATCCGATTCAATCGTTTATAGTAAAAGTTTCAGGGGACAGATAACTCAAATACTGGTTTCTAAATTGCAAATCCGTTTCCTACACCAGCGGGGGACACCCTACATGAACAGGAAGTTTGCTGAAGTGTTTTCTCAGAAAAATGGTGGCTTTTAAAGTCAGAACTGAATCCCACAAACCATAGCTACTAAATAAGGTGATAGCCTTTCAGTTACAAAATTCCTTGATGTAGTTTTGGAGAAACACATTTTCTAAGTTAGATCTTTTTCTTTTAAAGGCATTTCCTTTTCCTTTATGAAATAAAATAATTTTGCCTAATATAGTTCCACTGTCATTTTTTAAAAATAGCATTTTAAGTTTGTTGCAACCATAAACACTTAAATAGGAAATAACTGAGGCTGATTTTGCTAAGCTTGTAGGATACTGCTTTTACTGCTTCCAGTTCATATTTCTTTAAAAAGTTGTGTTTGCAGTCTTGACTAAAAGGGAGAATGTGTGGTAAATTAAAGTTCATTTAGTAGGGGACTGAAGAGAAACAGACTGTAAGAGTTCTAGTATGTCACAAATTGAAGTACTCCTAATTAATGACAGGAACACTGAGTAATTGACATCACAAAGTAGTGACCATGCATGCTGATATATGCAGGAAGTAACAAGGATTGTTAGCCTAAAGTATTCAGTTCTAAACTTTAAATGTTGCCTGATTTTTAAGACATCCGAGGTGGTCTGTAATGGATTGTTTCATTTGTAGTATAATGAAATGTTTACAGAAAGATAACTTTTTCATTAAAATATTTTTAGCAATGTGTGTGTGGTTTTATCACTTTGCAGTATTCTTGTGATTTAAATGCTGTAGGTGATTGAGATTTTTAACGAGAGGAAATGTGGGATGAACCTCCATACAGTGTATCTTAAGATTCTATCAAATGGAAAATAAAACTGGGAAATTATAAGAACACGGGTCTTAAAGGACAACACAAGGGTGTAAAATTTATGAACTTTCAGGTATGGGATAATTAGGTAAGGGAATTCCTGAAAGAGATGGGGTTCTGTGCATCAAAATGGTGATCTTTGACAGTTGGTTGAACATGTAAGTGAAGGTGAGTAGGGAAAAGAAGCTTCCCTGAAACTACCCAAACAAAAGGAATGTGGTTACAGTTACCAGATTGGTTTACTAACATTGAGTGTCTCCATTTCTAGCTGCAGCAGCTTGTCTCCATACTTTTTAACCAAGGCAGCCCTCAAATGTGTGATTCCCCCTGCCCCAGCCTCCTGAGTGCTGGGACTTCAAGGGTACCTTGCCACTCCTGACTTGATGTACTAAATGAGATACTCTAAATTGAGCACAGGTAGGATTTGCAGCTGTTAACAGTGTTGTAACAGTTTCCAACACTGGTTTCATAGGCTTTTCTCAGGATGAAAGTGGCTGTATAATGCCAAATACTGAGTTCTAGGGATGTGGATCAGTGGTAGTATAATATTTGCCTGATACCCAAGGTCCTGAGTTCAGTTCTCCACAAAACTCAAAGAATACCTGCCAGATAGGAAGTAATGGAATTTGAAATCCTTCATGTACCTACCATGCCTATTAAATTGTTCTTTAGTGTTTCTCTTTTCAAAAGTATCCTGTTACACATTAAGTTGATTTACATTTGGGTTGACTACACTGTTTAGATTTAGGGAGGAGTGAAAACAAGGACAAGGATTTGTATTTTACCTGTGTGTATTTAGTGCATTTGTGCCATGCAATTCCAGTCAGAAGGGGGTGTTGAATTCTCTGGAACTGAAGTTAGTTGTAAGATGCCTTGTGGGTGCTGGGAACTGAACCCAGGTCCTCTGCAAGAGCAGCCAATGCTCCTAATCACTGAGCTACCTTTTCCAGCCCTTTGGGGGGAGTTTGAGTCTTAATTGTAAAGAAGGGATGTGGGTAAATTTTGCAGTGTATCCATTGTAACTTTGGTGGTGATGGGAACAGGGTCTCATGTAGCCCTGGCTGGCCTGGAATTCACATAAAGGTCTCTTGAGTTCTGGGGCTTAAAAACTGCCATGGTAGCCAGTCATTGTGTTTTTTAAAAATGTTTTTATTTTGTATGATTGTTTTGCCTGCTTGTATTTAAGTACACTATGTGAGGGCAGAAGAGGGCGTTGGATCTTCTGGAGCTGGAGATACAGATGGTTGTTAGCTGCCATGAGGGTGCTGGGAAATGAATCTGGGTTCTCTGGAAGAATAAGCATTCTTAAGGTCTCTGCCATTGCATTTTTTAAATGGCTTTAAAATGGTCAATTGACTATCTGGAAGCTGTCAAAAGTAATTTTTATACTTTGCCATGTAACAAAAGTTTAAACTTGCATACTTGATCAATAAGTCAGATTGTTAGTTTCAGCTGTCTAGTGGCCTCATAATGTTTAGGTTTTGCCAGTCAAATTTAAATTCTGGAGCTAATCTTGTGTGCTTGGATAGTTGGAGAATTCTTTATGTGCTTTGTATGCTTGATGGTGCCAAGGGATCCTTCGAGTGTTGGCTTTTTGTTCACAGACAAGGTCTCTTCTGTGTAGCCCAAGCTGGCCTCCCAAATGTTGGCAACCTTGTGGACACTGAAATTAAAAACGAGGAGCCACCTCGCCTAACGTTGATTTATATGACTAAGGAGTAGGACTTACGTTAGATTGAAAGTGTTTTCTGGCCAAGTAATAGGTGCCCTTATTAACTTCTCAAGAGTTTGGTGAGATGGTCGCGAAATATTTTCTGGCCATACATGTACACACTACCCCATACACAACAAAACTTCTAGGTTAGCTTTGTGCGAAAATGCAGAGTACACAGGTTAAATGTGAATGCAGAATTAGTTGCCTGTCGATGGCCTCCAGAGTGGCTTAGATTCTAAAATTCTAGTGGGTGATAACATTTTGATCACTGTCTAGTTTTCCTCCAGGATTGAAGTCTTAAAGTCACTGAACTTTTTTTGAGTTCTCCAGTAATAATTGAAACAGCTGTCTTTAAAGTGGGAAGAATGTTTTGATCCATAATCACAGACTAAACATTTTAGAGAGGGTCTCCTTGTGTATCCTCAACAGGACTATAACTCGCTATGTGGATCAGACTGGTCTTGAACTCAGATCACCTCCTTCTGTCTCCTGAGTGCTGGGATTAAAGGCATTGGCCATTGCAGTCACATGATAGTCAAAAGTTAAAGTATGGCAGTACATTTGAACAGCACCTCATTCACTCAAAAACATGGGTCTTAGGCCGGGTGTGATGGCACACGCCTTCAATCCCAGCACTTGGGAGGCAGAGGCAGGTGGATCTTTGTGAGTTTGAGGCCAGCCTGGTCTACATAGTTCCAGGACAGCTGGGGCTACAAGGAGACCGTCTCAAAAAGACAAAAAAAAAAAAAAGGGGGGGGGGGAGGGTTCTATCTAAAAGTTCTCAGGAAGAAAATAGAATTAAGATTTCTAATACGTTGGCCATCAACCCCAAAGGTATACATTTTGGCCTGCAGACTTAGTCAAAACAGTTCAAATAAGGTTTAATGTTTGAGGGCCTAGATTTAGGTCAGCTAGGTCTAAATCTAGTATTTCAAATGTCAAGAATTTTCAGGAACTTTGGTGGCCTAAGATTTGGTTGTACTTTTAAACTCAAGTCTACATACAGCTCTTACTACTCAAAATGTAGTTTTAGATACTATAAGGTACTGTTAATGGTCAGTTATTTTGTATGAATGGCAAGACTCTTCAAGTTGGGCTAATGATATGAAGCATGTTGCTGTGGTGCTCCTCCCTGTTCCAGCCAATTCCAGGTGCTCCAGCTGGGGCTGCCCATAAGATTCCTGTAGGAGTTTTGAGTCTGAATAGTGTTTTCTCCGTGGTTCCTCCATCACTACCACAGCTCCAGAGGATACTGACAGCATGAGACAGACCCAGGACACAGTATCTCAAATGCCAGATCCACCTGCCCTTCAAAGTAGTTTTCAACTCAAGCCTTCAAGTCATGGGTCATAATACTCTTACTGAGCTACTCTGGTTTCATGTTAAGACAATGTTTGAAGAAAATGAGCAAAGCACCCATTTATAGAGTGCTTCCAATGAGCTGTAGAATCTATTTCCATCTATAGATAAGGCTAAGTGAGTTGCTGGAGCTCAGTCTGGGGCCAGGAGCTGGTGGGCCTCTACACAGAAATTTGCTTAGTTTGGATTGCTGGAAATCTTTGAGGATAGTTTACATGTAATGCCTATTAACTCAAATGGATCTCTATTCCCTCCCCACTTCCTAAAAACATACTGTTATGTACTGGCTGCCCTGGATCTTGTTACATAGACCAAGCAGGGTTTTCATTGTGATAATCCTGCCTTGTGAGTGCACCACCATACTCTGCTCCCAGCTTTTAAAAAGGCAAAAAGCAAACTACAGTGCTTAGATGAAACTGTTAGGTCTTTTTTTTTTTTTTTTTAAAAAAAAAAAAAAAAGCATTACACATTTTCCAGAGATTTTTGAGGGTTTTACATTTTTTATTGTGTAATGTTTTACTTGAATGTAAGTGCACCGCATGTATACAATGCCCACAGCAGCTAGAAGAGGGCATCAGATTTCCTGGAACTGAAATTGTGGATGGTTATTAGCCACCATCTGTTGAGAATTTAACCCAAGTCCTCTGGAAGAGCAACCAGTGCTCTTTAACTGCTAGGCCATCTCTCTAGCCTGGGGCTTTGTTTTTTAATCCTCTACATGTCTACTTGTCACAACATGTCTGTTGAGTCAATTTTCTCACCTCTGTCATTTCCATTCCTGGGGTACTCAGTTGAATCTATTAGAAAATCCTTTAGTTTTGCTTCTGAAATACAAAATTCAGTATTTTACCCTTTGCTATGGCTTCAGAACAAGATCAACAGTCATCTTACATGAACTTCCCAGTTGGTCTCCATGTTCCCACCTTTGCTCCCTAAACTACTGAGCACACAAACCAGAGACCAGTCTCATAGTGCTACTTAATCTTAGCTCCCTACCTTACTAAATGGAAATCCTGAAGACTGTCCACTACAGTCTACCCTTTTATGGCTTTATTTTGCTGTCTTCTCCATCCACTGTCTTTCAAACCAGTCTTGGTCTTTGGAATTGCTATGTTCAAAGTACCAAAGGTCTGAGCTATCAGAGTGGCTTGACCAACACCTTAAGATGTTGCAACCTTTTATGTTGCAATGCTTTTAGTTTTTCCCCCTTAATGCAGTATGCGTCCTATCCTCCCTTTTTACTAGAATGCCACTTTGGGTTTTTTTTTTTTTTTGGTCTGACTTTAAAATGCACCTGTATCAGTGCCCACAGAGGCCAGGAGACAGTGTTGGAGCCCCTGGAATTGGAGCTATGGACAGTTGTTAGCCACCATGTTGGGACTGGGAACTGAACCCAGGTCCCCTACAAAGGTAGCCAGTGCTCTTAACTGTTGAGTCCTCTCTCTAGTCCCTAGAATGTCACTTTGAAGAGCACACAGATACTTTTTTCTTTGTAGAGTGCAGAATGGCAGGCATTCAATGTTGTGTTGTAAATAAGTTTTCATGTTAATATGTATCATTTCCTTGGTTGATTGTATGACAATCTTAATTCTCCATATTTAGTTTAAAATGATTTTGAATTTTCAAAACTGTTTTGAATATGTAAAATATCAAATTTGTTAAATGGATGATTGTCCTATGGAAAATACTGTTGTGAATAAACTCAAAAGAATCAAAGTAATTTAAGTCATGATATTCCTTTATTAGTGCCAGCCCCTTAAGGTTTTTGGGTGTTTTTGTTTTTGTCAGAGCTAAACAATTTAATATAAAAATGTCATTTTCTTTGTTCATACAGTATATAAAAAACAAGTATAGTGGTTAGTTTTGCAACAATTTGCTTTAGCCAGATGTCATATAAATCTATGAACGTAACAAATGCAATAAGAACAGTATAAATAAGTTTTGTAGTATTTACACTTATACAGAAACTAGCCCAAATGGTGTTCTCTAAGAGATTAAGTTCATTGTTAAAATGAAACTGATCCAACATTGGTATTTTTAATGTTTTGTAAAGTTTCGTTACTTTCTATACTAGTTTTGGCTATAATTTTGCATAGTTACTTATAAAGTGTATTTCTGCATTTCACATCACAGTAGGAAGTTTTAGTAGAACAGTACAAGATAAAAACACTAGCTCAGAAAAGGCTAAATCTTTCCAAACCTAGTTTTTCCTAACATCTGGCTTCTTGCTTTTGGGAACAAGGAATACATTGCCATCACTGGTTTGCTGCAGGGAGTATTCGCTAGGAGAATAAGGTTTTCCATCTTCATCGCGTAACATGCTGAAGACTTCAAGATACAAGGTGCTGAGCTGTTTTTTTAGTAGATGGAGGCTTCTGTCATTTTCTCCTTTTTCTTTGAGTAATTTTTCTTTTTCATCTTTTAAGTGACCTAAATCTTGCTCCAGTTCTACTATATTTTCCAGTTTTCTTTTTCTGCAATTCTGAGCAGCCACTTTATTCTTCCCTCTCCTACGTATATCTCGGATTAATGCAAGTTGAGCTTCATTGAACTGCTCCTTGGACATCATTTCATTGAAGTCATCAACAGGGAGGTTAATGATTTTTTCAACAGGGAATGGGATATGGAGAGCCTTTGCCCTAAGCTCATCTCTTGTGAGATGAGCCTCCAAGCGGCTTGAATGTTTGTCTTTTGCGAATGGAGCTTTTCGATGACCAGGACTTACAGGCATTTCTTTTTTTGTTGTGTTTTCACACTGGGCATCATGTATGGGAGCACAGTGCCCTCGAGCTGGTGACAGAGGTTGCACTGTATCCTCCGAAGAATGTGTTGGCTGTGTTTTAGGACCATTCTGTTTGACACTTCCAGGGTCACTATCTAGCTCTTCCATTTCAGAGTCACTGAACCCAGGTGGTGGGTCTCCATAGATAGAAGATTCCACTGAGTGTTCTGGGGATGCTATGCTGGGACTAGTGATGACTGAAATGCCAGAATCAGAATCATTGAATTCTGTGTTTTCAGGGTGCTTCTGGTTGAAAGCTTTACAAAGTGACAGATCACAGCCATCAATAGGCTCACATAGAAGTTCAGAAAGTGACTGACTGACAGTAGCAGAAGGCATGCTGTTACTGACAGTGGGTTCTGCTATGAAAGCAGAATAAAATTCATCACCAAAATCGGTGTTCAATGTGGTATCTGAATCTAATGAGTTAACTGTCAGCTGGCTAGGATCATCTGTGGAGAGGATACTGCTGAAAGAATCCTCAAAACCATGAAGAAAGTGTGGACTGCAGCGGCCGGCTTCTTTTTCCAGCGAGGGTATGGATGAATAAAAACTGTAACTGTTGTCAATTTCCATCAGTTTGGCTTCTGGACTTGGAACCTTCGTAGTCTCAACCAGCGTGTTTTCAGTGTTAAGACACTGGAAAAGAAGTTACATGGTATGATTAAAGTTAAATATTTTTTACATAAACTCCCTGGTAATTTTCAAATGATGGGTATTCCTGATCAAATGCACTATTTTCATGTGAATCTATCCTGAAATACTCAGCCCATTTAACTAAAAATATTATACATATTAAATGAGTCTGGGGCACTCTCGTGACTAATTTAAAACCACCTTCCAATTTCTTCCTACAAGTGGATGGCATAAAATAACCAGAATGACTAATTTAAATAGACTGAATATAAACCAGCATCCCTGGTACGACATCAGAGCTTAGTTACCTGTAATTCTGGAATGGAAAGTAGCTCCTGCCAAACTTGCTCCATGTCCTGCTGCATGTTGTTTAAATCCGTCATGGCTACTTCAAGAGAACTTTCAAGTGACTGAGTCTGATTAGGATCAATGAAGACTGGGCTTTCAACATGGTTGGGAATATCCGGGGCAAGTGACTGAAATGTAGCTGAAGAAACCTAAAATTGACAAGGCATTTATCTGCATGAGTAAGCTCCAAGGAACAGTACAGTCAGCTGCAGATTCTGCATTTCTCTACTTTCTGACCACTTGTTTATATAAACTGAAACATTTTCTCCTTCCCAAATGACTCTTAATTTATAATTTACGTAAAAGTCATCACATGTCATTTAAAATTCAAAATGGGTAAAAATAATCATTAACACTTCATTTGTATCTCTAATATGTAACAAACTACTTCAAATAATAAAGATTATTAATTGAAGTACTGGTTATTGTCTGATTACTTACCAAAATATTTATATACCTGTAACAACTTTTCTATAGTTAACACTGATTCATGTCCCTAGCTATACAGTAAGATAGGCTTCATACTGTTTAAGGATTTTTGTTTTTAAACATTGAACAGATACATACTATAGCTTACTTGACAAAGTATTTCCTTGATAAAAATCTTCCTTCTAAATTTTTCTTTTACTTTTTTTTTGGTCTTTTTGAGACAGGGTCTCCCTATAGCCCCAGCTATCCTGGAACTCACTATGAAGACCAGGCTAGCCTTGAACTCACAGAGATCTGCCTGCCTCTGCCTCCCAAGTGCTGGGATTAAAGGCATGTGCCACCACACCCGGCTTCTTTTACTCTTTTAATTGACTATACATTAAAGGGGATTTTGCTGTTAGTCAAATGCTTTATACCTCATGGTCATCTACAAATGGGAATGTCTCTGCCAAAAGCTGCATACAGTCATCGAAGTACAAAGCATCTGGTTTGGGAATGTGGGAAACCTGGATTAAGAAGGAAAAGCATAATGGAGGAAAAAAATTATTAAATGTTCCACTGCTAAGCTAAAGATTCATGACTGATAAAAGATTTGCTTATAAAATTATTTATAATCTAGTCTCACTTCAGAAGTTAGTTTGGTGCACAGACTCAAACCAGATTACTTGGGTTCAAACCTTAGTTCCTTAAAAAAAAAAAAAAAAAAAGAATAAGTGTTGGAGATTGACCCCAGGGCCTTCTCTACCACTGAGCTACAACGCTAGCCCTCCCCTAATTTTTTGAATGATCTAGGCAAATTATTTAACTCTTTTTTTAACTTTAGTTGTTCATCCATATAGAAAATGGGAATCATAATGGCTAACAGTTATGTTAAATTAGTTAATATATATAATTAGGGCCACGCCTGCCAAACCACTGTAAGCAATGCCTACTGGTTCTATTACTGCCAGTACTGTTACTGTTTGGTCCTAACAGGATGTTTCTATAATTTACAGTGTGCTTTTCTGTATCCTAATCTTTACAATAACTCCATAAATTAGGTAACTCTAGTGCTGAACTCATCTGGAAGCTGAGGTTGGAGACCTGACCTTGTCAGAAAGACATAGTAAAAGGGAGACTAGTTACTCAAATCAAATGCTCTTTCTCAGTCCTTAAGACCATGTTATACCGTCTCCCAAGAACTAAGTACTCTGTACCTGGGAGTAGTTGGCAGATCCACTGTTTTCTGTCTGGATGTGTTGGGCTGGCTGAATTGGGAGGAATTCACCCGTCTCTTCATCTAGTTGTAACTGAGCAAAAAAGGCCTTCTCCTGCTCCTTTTGAAGTTGTTCTTGTCTTTCTTTTTCAAGTTTTTTCTGTTTTTCCAGCTCATAATCCTTCTGTCGCTGACTGACATCAAACACTTCTCGACTTACCCCAAGATCTATATCTTGCCTCCAGAGTATGTCAATCAAATCCATGTCCTATGTTTAAAACAGAAAAGGAAGGAGGAACCATGGTTAAGATGGTCCACACAGATTAATACACTGTATGCCAATATTCATAGGGAGAAATTAGGAACAAAATCTGAATGAGAATACAGATCCAGCACTCTAGAAGAGCAGTTAATTCCATTCAGTCTATTCACGAAAAGCAACAGTTTATACAACCACCCATTCTAATCACAATTAGGATCATTAATGACTAATGGTAGAGAAAGGCAAATTATGTTTCATATTAATGTGTTTAAAAATCCCATACTTGTTCAGAATAGAAATTATAGCGAATACATAAGGCCACTGAGATTACAGGTGTGCAACACCACCCCTAGCTTTCAGTTGTGACTTTGTACAAGCAAGGACTGAAACAATTTATGTTAGAATTACCACTCACAAATCTTATTTCTGCATCCCTAGAACCCAGTCCATATGGACTAGAGGATAATTTCTAATGGACTTAACTCTAAAATTCATTGTCAGTCACCCCAAGAATTGACTTTAACACTAGTCTCTAACACTACTGTTTCTTTTTACTTCTTTCCCCACTAAATAATGATGCTTCAAAACTTCAGAGGGTATTAATTATTCTTTTCTGCCCCGGCATACAGATGTTGACCAAATGAGACATAAAGAGATTTCTCCATAAATGTAAAATAAGCAAATGCTACACACACTGACAGTGATGGGATACCTGCTGGAGGTGAAACCAAACTCTAGGTCAATGGATAATGAAGCTGGACTCTACTAGTCAGAATGCAATCATCATTCCAAAATCATGGATGGCAACCCTGAAGCAATGAAACTGCTTAGGTCCTTCTTGGGACATGTTAACAGGTGGTCTGTTATTGCCCTTTTTAAAAAATATTTTTTTATTTTATGTGTATGAGTGTATTGCCTGCGTGTATATAATGCATCCATGTCATGCAATGTCGGAGAGGTCAGAAGAGGGTGTCGGATCCCCTGGAACTGGAGTTATGGATGGTTAGCTACCATGTGGATGCTGGGAATCAAACCCCAGTCATCTATAAGAGCAGCCAGTGCTCTTAACCTCTGAGCCATCTCTCCAGCCCCCTTGGTCTTTGTTTTAAAAAGGATTTTGAGGCGCATTCATAAGCAAATTAGAACATCTAATTATGGTGAGTGGTGGTAGTTTGATGTTGAAAGCAGTGGGTACCCCCACATACTTTAATGTATATGACTTATAGACCCATTAAATTGCCAGTTTCCTGTGATGACTATCCATCCCTCAATGCACACTTCAAATAAATTCAGTATGCCCTTTTGTGTGTGTGTGTGGGGGGGTTGGTCTTTTTTTGAGACAGAGTCTCCCTGTAGCCCCAGCTGGCCTAGAACTCACTAGGCAGACCAGGCTGGCCTCAAACACACAGAGATCCACCAGCCTCTGCCTCCCAAGTGCTGGGATTAAAGGCGTGTGCCATTACACCTGACCAAATATTTAAAGTAGTAGATTGTGGGGCTGGAGAGATAGCTCAGCGGTTAAGAATATTGGTTGTTCTTGCAGAAGACCAGGGTTCAAATCCCAGCACCCACATGGCAGCTAACAACTATAATTCCAGTCCCGGGGCTCCGAAAGCCTCTTCTGACCTTCATGGGCATTGCATGACACGGGCGCACTTACCTACATGCAGGCAATACATACACAGAAAAATAATAAAAATTAAAAAAAAATAAATTTAAAAAAGTAGATTGCTCTATATCTCCGAGTTTTGTTTGTCTGTTTAACAGGCTCCCCCTAGTCCCAGGGCACCTGGATGTCACTGTGTGGATCAGACTGGTCTCGATATCACAGAGATGTGCATGCCTCTGCCTCCCGGGGACTGGGATTAAAGGTACATGCCACCACACCTGGTCAGTATGCCCTTGTTTTTTTTTTTTTTTTTCTCTTTTTGAGACAAGGTCTCCTTGTAGCCGCAGCTGGCCTGGATTCACTAATGGAGACCAGGCTGGCCTTGACCTCACAGAGATCCACCTGCCTCTGCCTCCTGAATGCTGGGATTAAAGGCGTGAGCCACCACACCTGGCTATGCCCTTGTTTTGAATTTCCCGTAACAAGATCAGAAAAGAACACCTTGGTGGAGTCTTATTAAGAAATAGGAAGATAAACCAGGAAGGCTCATTAGGATCATTCGATATGATCCTAATCATAGGATCATTTGATATGAAACAGCACTAGACCCATGGAGACAGTAGTTCCGACAACTTAGCTTGTGCTTCCCACCAAATGGAGTTTCAGTGGACATTTACTTGCTCTTTGTTTTTCAGAAAGGGTCTCATGTAGCCCAGGCTAGTCTCAAACTCACTATGTAGCCATGAAGATGACCTTGAACTTCTGGTCCTCTTTTCTACCTCCCCAATGCTGTGATTCCAGGTATACACCACTACATGTGGCTGTCATGTAACTTCTTAATCAGTCTGAGCATTAAGTATGATCATAATGGCGCTTACAAAGATTTCAAAGAATTCTGAGAGATTTTCCTTTATACTTTTAGGCTTATACTACAAAGTCTGTAAAAAAAAAAACAAACAAACTTTATGTGTATGATTGTTTTGCCTCATGTATGTAAGTGCACCATGTGCTTGGAATGCCTGTGGACCCCCTGGATCTGAAGCCAGAGGTGATTGTTAGCCACCATGTGGGTGCTGGGAGCCAAACCTGGATCTTCTTCAAAAAGCAGCCAGTGCTCTTAACTGCTGAGCCATCTCTCTAGCCCCAAGAAAACTGCTTTTTAAGAACAACCTAAATTTTACACAACTATTACTTTGGATTGCTAAAATCACTTTCCCAGTCAAGTACAAACCAAGGCTGACCTGCTTAACTTCAGACCAGATTGGCCATCTTTGAGATGAAATGGCTATAGGACTAATAAATTTAGACATTCTGATCAAATTCAGAACACAACAACTGGGGGGGGGGGCGTTGTCATGGGTAATGTTTTAGAGTTCCACACAAGCTTCAGAAGTAAAAGTAAAATGTCTGCAGAAATTTGAGGGGTTTTTTCCCCTTGAGAGAAATTTGAGGCTGGCCTCAAACTCCAAGCAATCCTCCTGCCCCAGCCTCCCAAGTGTTGAGATTACAGGCATGAGCCACAACATCCTGGCTTCAGATACTGGATACTATATGAAACATTTCAAAGTATTGTATTAGGGAAAAGAAATGCAGAAGTCTCTTAACACAAAGCACTGCCTGAGAATCCCAAAGCCTCAGTGCTGTGTTCTGTGATGACCAAACAAGCAGTAAGCATTTCCATCAGGAGCCCTGTGACTGGCACATGACTTACACCACAAACGACCCATCTCTGACCTATGGCTCTATAAAGCCTGAACATTATCTAAGAGGAAATAATAGGGTGGAGCCTGTAACAAGCAAGAACATGACACCAGGCAGCAAGGAAGGGAAGTGTCTAAGGAAGAACTAAAACTGCTCTTCTGCCCAGAAAGCCAAAGCTTTGAAGAAATGCAGCTGCCTGAACCCACCCTCCGCATCCTCCCCTAAGAAGGAAGGCCAGTGGAAAATGTCACATAAGCAGATCTTGGGGAGGGAAAGGATAGCAGGGGATGGTTTGCACAGTATTCCAACAAATGTTTCCTTAAAACTGGTGAAAGTGCTGCCTAATGGAATGCAAGTGCTGGGGTGAGCCTTGTGGCATATGGAGCAAATGCTGTCTACCATTTACTGTTTGCATTGTTTGTCTTTTAGTGATTCCTGAATGTGTTCCAAATCATGTTGCAAACTTAGCTTACATAAAAGACAATAAGAAACATAAATGTTGGACAACTCATGCTAAATCATCATATGGCCTGACAGAAATAATCCTATTTAAAATGCACACATAATCATTTGTCACTGGGTAAAATGTCACCGATTTCAAGGAATTCTGAAGTTAGACAACTAATTCATGCCACTTTGAAACAAACAACTCTGTCCAAAGAGCAGACTTTGAAAGCCAAACTATGTTTCAAACCAATTTTAAGTACTTTGAGCAAACAAACATCTATCATGCACAGATACATTAAAAAAAAAAAAAAAAAAAAAAAAAACCTAAGTAAAGATGACATGATTCCCATTCTAAATTAAAGCCATTCGGTTACCTGAGGCTTTGGAAGTTTATCGCAGATTTAAAAAATCATTTTAAAAATTACATTTTCTTTTTTGCTGGGGTGAAGGGGTTGTGCACATGCCAGAGAGCATAAGAAGAGGTCAGAGGACAACTTGTAGAAACGGTTTTCTCCTCTACCATATAGGTCCCAGGGACTGAATTCAGGTCATCAAGTTTGGGAGCAGACACCTTCACCCACTGAGCCATCTCTCTTGCCCCCACAAAAATGATAATAAACTACTAAAACCAATAAATTGTATGTATTATTTAGCACAGAACAAAAACTGATCTTTGTTTCCAAATTTTAGTAAGGGTTAAGACATCTTGTTATTCCTTTTCTGTTTGTTTTTTAAAGGCATGTGGCCACCATACCGTTTTTTTTTTATTTTATGTATATGAATATTTTGCCTGTGTGTATGTAAGCACACCCATGTCATACAATGTCCGTGGAGGCCAGCAGAGGGTGTCAGATTCCTTGGAACTGGAGTTACAGATGGTTGTTAGCCACCTCACCAAATGCTGGGATTACAGGTGTACATCACATCCAGCAAGATTCTTAAAATCATGCATTTTCATTAAGAGAACAATAAATCTTAGTTTAAAGCTCATTTCTCTGAGGTCTCTCCTTCATCTAAATATTAGTTACTGAAATTCCCAGTCTATGATATACTTCACTGTGTTTTCCCTTCTTACATTTCATGTCTAGGCGATTATACTACTCACCTAAGCTAAACTTGTTTTTTTTTATCTTCCACAGACCATGCCCAAATACTTAATAAAAACAGAAAACATGAATTATATTGTACAGTCTGAAAGATATCCAAATAATAGCTATCAGAAACTTAAAAAGCAATGGGTAATGGGGTG